GCAATCGTGTTCATTAGTTCCCTATGAAAAATGATATTCAACACAGATGTCAAATGCAGGAAAGAATTAACAAGCACTTGAAGCAACCTCAAAATAGCATCTAGATAATCACTTCTGAACATCGAAGTCTCGGAAAACAAGTTCCAATTTAAATAAAGGTGTTGGATAGGATTAAGGAGAAATGAACAAATACATTTTCTTTATCCACATTCATTTAGGAAATGTCTGACATAGCTTAGAAATTATTTTTGAAATGCAGACTGAAGAATGGTTAATTTCCTCTGTGGAGGGGCTTCAATTAGCAGTTTGAAATAGATTAATGTGTCCTGATATTTTATCTTGAATCAGAGCTACAAAGAATAGACCTAAGATGAACAGACTCAGTTCGGTGGTTCTCATCAAAACTCACCAGAAAGCCTGTGGACTCTGTACAGGGGCCCGCAACTCCAAACACACACCAGACACACTCCTAATCCTGAATCATAGCTTCCCTGTAAATATGGTCCTTTTCATATGTTCAGAATTTCCGTGAATTAAATATAAATGACCCTAAAAGTACTACTGAATTCGTAGTCACTATATAAAAATACTATTACATGGGGGAGGCTCAATTTTTTATTGTATTTAAAAGGAGTCTTCACACTCAAAAAGCTTAGGAAACGTTGATTCAGTCCAAACCTCTCTTTTTACTGATGAGGTAAACATCTTAGGCACAGCTGGGACTCCAGTCTAGATTTTCTCATTCCTAAATGGTCCTTGTCGCACACCATATGTGACTTTCAGTGTAGTCACCAACTTATGAGATGCTTAACAGTCATGGCTGCAACCTCTGATGCCATTTCTTCTTTATAAAGGAGGAGAGCACAGTCTTACCCTCTCTTCATGGAAATGTTCCAGGAACTTTTTAAATCTCCAGAGTCCCTCAGCAGTTCCTCTTCCTGCCCTCCTATCCTCAAATGCCTTTTGGGTTAGCAACACACTCAACCCCTCTCAAGGTCAATGCTCTGGAAGAGCCCTTGGGCATTTACTCTCAACACAAAATGGAAATGCAGTCACCAAGGTACTAAAACAAGGAATGCGCAAAGTATGTGTAAAATCTGCATATACAAGGGGTGACCCTCCAAAAAACCTGAAATTTATTTATAAAAAATTGTGCATTTATTCTTAAATGTTTAAACCACAGTCACCTTTCAAGTACTCTCCGTTTGATGCTATACACCTATCCAGATGCTTTTTCCACTGCTCAAAACAGTTTTTTTTTAACCTATCAATTTCAATGCTTTTTAATGCTTCTGCCATTTTTCCCCATATTCTAACATTCCAAAATGTTTCCCTTTGAGGACTATGTTCATCCAGGGAAATACAAAGAAAGTCACTAGGGGTAAGATTCCAGTGGAAGGGAAGGGTTGGGCATGGGGACCATGCCACTTTTGGTCAAAAACTGCTGAACACTCAGTGCAGGGTGGGCATGTTGTTTATGCAAATCATCCATCATGAAATGGGCAAATGCACTGAAAGAATCTCCAAAAAAAATTCACTGAAGCCAAATGTAGCCTCTCACAACCATGCTAGCTGGTACACTTATGCCAGTGGGTTCCTAGAACATTCACCTGACAGGGAAAACCTGTACTAAAGGGGTCCACCCTTCAAAAGATAATGCCAGGTTTTTTTTAGTCCCCCCCATATATGAGTGTAATTTATAGCAAAAACCTCAGCGGTCCTAATATCTATGGAAAATAAGAAGTTGAATATTAATGAATAATCATTTTATTTACTGTGGGTCTGTCAATACCAACAGGCTGTTAATAAACCCCTACCATACCAACTTTTCAAAATGCTTTCACCTCTGTGATTTCAGTTTATTGTCCTGATGATTCACTTGAATGTGCCACTTGCGTGACACTGGAACTTAAGTGCCATGAAGAGAAAAAATGCTATTTTATTCACTGCTCTTTCTCCAATACCTGGAATAGTGCCTAGTACATACTGGGTATTCAATAAATATTTGTTGAGTGAATGACAGGAGTAGAGCAGGGTGGTAGTTTAATTTGTTTATTTATTTTTACTTCCTGTCATTTTATTTTTCTTTGAAAAAATTAAATGATTCTATAAAGGAACAACTGAGTTCCTAACAATTTGTTCTCCGTCTTCAATTCTCCTATAACCTGTGACTTAACATCCTTACCTCAAATGTTTTAAATGTAATTTTCCAAAGTTATATAAGTAATTCATTCATTTTAGGAAAAATCAGATACTACCATATATAAAAAGAAGATAAAAGTTCTGAGGATTACATCATCCTAGGACAACACAGTTAACATGCTGATGTACATCTCTCCAGACTATGCATATGTACACACACACACACACACACACCTGACACATTCCCAAAAGTCTCTGCCTTAGACTTTGTGATTTGGATTTTTTCCTTTTTCTCTACGCTCCTTTTGTTACCTGTTGTAACTCCTTGCATTCCTCCTGTTCTCTATTTCCCTTCCCCAATATTTAGGTCTTTACTTCAAGATTTTTCTTTTCCCTCCAGAGAATCTGACTATGATTACTTTAAAGTCTATGTGGACGCTTTCTATGGATCTTCAGTGATCTCATTTCTCTAGACCAGTGCTCCCAAGCTCTACACCTCTAAAACCCAATTCATCATGTCCTCTCCATCAAAACCAGATTCACTGATCCCTTTTCTGTAACAGAATTCTATGAGTTAGCCTCAATGGTCATTTTTGCTTCCCCAAGTCCATATCGAATCACTCAACGCTTTTTCCATCCTTCCTTCCTATTCTCTCTTCCATCTCCTCCCATTGCTACCATCTGTGTGTAGGCCCTGACACCTACATGGTTTTCTGCCTGTGCCTCTTACTTTCTGTATAACCAAACACCTATCAATGCTACCTCCCTGCTGCCAGTTACTTTCCTAAAACCCCACTTCTACGTTCCCCATTCTATATTCAGAAATGTTGGCTGTTTCCCTCTCTCACAGAATGAGATTCCAGTCCCTTTGCAATCTCGCCTCAGACTACTTGATACACTCTCTCATTATTCCACATAACAAATCCTTTGCTCCAGCCAGGTTAGTGTATTCATTAATTACCCACCTCCAAAACATTTGTTTAAGTATTTATTAACCATTTATTATACATAAAACTCATTCATTCATCAAATATTTCCTGAGCCTCTACTCTGTCAGAAAATGTACTGATGCTGCAGACACAGTGGTGAACAAGACAAAGTCCCTATCCTCATGGAACTTAAAGGACAATGAGTTATAGGGGGAGACTCCGAGACATGGTGGTCCCAATCCCAGGATACTTTCAATCTTCCATTAAAAATGTCAAATGAGTCAAGACATCCCTGAGGGTTGAACTTTGTGGCCCAGGCAGCAGGTGGGGAAGGAGTTCGGAAGAAAGGAAGGGCTGGTTGGAGTGAGAGCTGGACCATGGAGCATGGCATCTTTGAAGATGTGGGACTCAACCCAGGTATTCAAGGATGCATGTGGGAGAGAAGCAGGTGCCTTTTATCTGGGGAATAGGAGGAAAGGCACAACGGTGAACTGGAAACAACAGCAATAGTATCGGCTTATTTTGTATACAGGTTCACTCAACACCTATTTAGCAGAGCAGGAACTCTGCCGCTACAGAGCCCCAGGCTCTGCTGTGGATGTGAAGATGACTCAGCTCCTACTGTCAAGGGATTTCCATCTAGCAAGGAGGATAAGGCAGGTCCATGACGATCTATGACACACAGACAGTGGGACGTTCCATAAGTGATCCAGAGAAAACACTGAGAAGTTCAGAGGGAGGTGCATGTCCAGGCTTGTATAACAGCACTTATATAATCGCATATTTTTATCCATCTACATCCATGCGTGCATACATTTAAAATAACTCTCTTGTTTCAAAGTGCTTTTCCACTCATTTTATCCTAAGTGACTTGTGAAGCAGGCAGAGTAGGTAAGATTATGTTTTTCAGAAGAACGAAGTGTGGCACAGATCTTTTAAGTGCTCTGCTTAGGTAGGGAAGATACACAGGCAAGAGAACAAGAACACAGGTCCATCTGGGCCCACTCCTGCAGCAGTGGAGTATAAAGCAGAGGGTACAGATTAAGAAGTTCTGTAATTACATATGATACCTGGCAGGTGTAATGAAGCCAGGCAGGCACTTGGATGTAAAAGGGCTGGACACAGGCAGCATTCTGGAGAGGGACTGTGAGCCAAGGACATTCCTCCATTTTTCACTTTCCTTCTGCAAGTCCTGCCTGCATCATTCCCCACCCTTAGGCCTGTCCAAACCGCAACCATCCCTTAAGGTTCACCCCCAATCTTTTTCGGCCCACACTGGTTTTTCCTTCCGTTGGTTTCACATCCATACTATCCCAGGCAAGCCAGCACGCTGCTCGGCTCAGAGAAGGAAATTAACAAATGCCGGCGGAATGAATGAATTCCCGGGGCCAACACGGATAACCTGAGTCTTTCGCTCCCTCCCCCGCTCCCGCCCCCCACC